GAGAACATTGAATGCCACCTGACCCGAAGGGCCCTTCTTCTGGCACTATATTGTCAGTCACTTTATACACTTTATATAGCAATAGCACTTAGACTTATATACCGCTTTACAGCCCTCTCAAAGCGGTTTACAGAGTCAGCATATTGCCCCCAACAATTTGGGTCCTCGTTTTATTCATCATGGAAGGATGGGTCAGCCTTGAGTCTGGTGAGATTCGATCTGCCAAATTGCAGTGGGTGTAGTTTGCAGTATTGCACTCTAACCACTGTGCCACTGAGGCTCGATATACCTTTCTAAGTGGCTTTCTTGCTAAAATAGAGGAATAGTTTAGCATTGCCTTCTGCATGGTATGAAATTATGCCTTTGCCATTGTCACAAAACCGATCATCCACCTCCAGCATTTCCTATATCACTGATGCCTACCTGCTTTAATTAGCTGAGATCTTCATATCTGGGTATATCATCATCATCACCAACATCAGTTTAGCCATTGTCTATCCATTGCAGGATGAAGGCCTCGTCTGCATGTTTCCAGCCGATAGGATCCTGAGCTTTATTTTGCCAATTGGGCCCGCAATACCTGCTGATGTTGATTTATCTTGTTTTAAATGGATTGATGACAAGTCTGTGTGTGTGTGTGTGTGTGTGTGTGTCATCTATATATCTCCTTGGTATATACTCCCAGCATTCTTCACTCATCACTTCCAGGACAGCACTACCACTACAATCAACTAATGTAGCAGGATTGCTTCAGAAGAATTATTATCTAATGGTTTTCTCTAAGCTGGAAGTCTGCTAAATATGTTGCATTTCAATTCACATAATTCCTGGTATTTGAGAGATTGCAGTCCAATGGATGACTGCTACAAATAGAATATTACAAGAATGAAGCTGTCCATCCAGTGGATCAAGACTTTAGTTTAAACATTTCACTGCTATGTTGTATGTTATAAAGTGCATATCATCTCACAGGCAACACATTTACGAGGAATTCTAAGACAGAAATGTATTTATTTAGACAATTTAATCCTGTCTCTTGGAAATACAATCTTAAATATTTCAGAATTAAATAAAACCCATTAGAGATGGTAAATTCAAAGTAATCCATCTTATGCTTACTTTCTTGTCTTTTTGGAATTTTTACAAAATTGAGTTATGCAGAATTCTCTGACCAGTGCACTGAAAAATTCTTTGATTCTGACCATTGTTATCTCTATAATTTTTTTAAAAAAAATTGCAATCAATCTTTATCACCACTATTCATTTTACAGATACAGTCGAGCAACAATTATTTAATGATTTTTCCCCATAGCCTATGAATCAAAAGTCTTGCTTCCACTAAATTGAAATGCATACTACTATAAGCTTCTTTCTCATAATTTTCATTTGCTTTATACCCCCTTACTCTGTACTTTTGCAAGATACTAAAGCGTGTCAGCACTTGGCTAATCTTGTTTAAGTTAAAAAGGGTTGGAACATGCTTAGTCTTTCTACATAAAATTCCAGACCTCAAAAGCAAATGCAACAATTCAGTGGTGGGATTCAATTTTTTTTACTACTGGTTCTGTGGGCGTGGCTTGGTGGGCGTGGCAGGGGTAAAATCTCCGGTTGGAGGTGGTATTTGTTGGTTCTCAGATCTACTCAAAATTTCCGTTACCGGTTCTCCATAACTGGTCAGAACCTGCTGAATACCATCTCTGCAACAATTACTCAATAATTTCAGTTACATATACAATTCGGAACGTGTATATCAGTTCTATTTCAGTTCCTTGAATATCTAGATTTAGGGTACTGTAAGTGCTGAGATAAATCTTTTTTTCTTATCTACAACTATATGTAATTCTTGCTTAGCAACCACAAACTCAGCTGTTAAAGCAGTCACTAAGTGAAATTACGACTGCTTATAATCTTATTTCAGTTCCCCTTTGCTTTATAAATTTGCAACAAGCATAAGTGTGAACATCATAAATGCAAAGATTAGTTGTAAAGTTACTTTTTCATCACTGTTGTAACTACAAATGGTCACCAAACATGGAATACTTATAAAATTGACTTCTCAACTGGACTACGACTGCTTTCCTGCTTTTTCCTTCAGGTTTCCTGTTTCTCAGACCATAATTTGAATGAAATTCTTAATTACAAGTCAAAATCCCAGACAAAATAAAACCTATAGAAAACAGCTACAAAATTGATTAAAGCATACACCAAATAAAACATGGATAATCATGCTTGGACTAGTTGCTATCAGCCATATATGAGTTTTATAAGCCACAGGAACAAAGTTTGCATCTGCTAGTAAAAAGTAAACATAAATTTCTTCAGTTAATTCTTCAGTCAAATCAGTGGCTTTCTTTGTCTCAGTTGAAGGTGCAATACAATAATATGCATTTGTTTCAATCTTTATGAGGGCAGAGCCTTCCTCCATAATATAGCAACTGAATGGCACCAAGCAGTTATTAAGGGGATTACTTATAGATGAAGAGGAAATTTGGAGAAGGAAGCAAGTGGTCAACAGTCAAGAAAGTTGTTACACCTGTTAGAAGGAAGACAATGAAAGATATGTGTGTTTTCTGTAATCATACAATAAGGTCCTTGTTTGACTCTCAGATGAACATGTGAATGACCTCCAGTTAACATAGCTCAGTGGTCCTATCAGATAATAAAGACTTTTTGTTGGGAGTATATAAACTGTTACGGTTGTTCTCAGTTATAAAAGCAGGATTTAGGGATGGGAAGCAGTTGCATGATGCCAGTCTTAACTGTTTTCTGAAGTTATTCCCAGTAGCATCAAGACAAACGTTTCTGGAAGGGCTCAACCAGCATACGAAGATGATCACTGTCCAGACCTGTTCATCACCACCAGGATTTACTTCATACCTGAAAATCCATTTTGCATTGTAAATGTTGCTAATAAACTAAACCTTCAAAAATGTTATTAATTTCTTTTTAAAAGACTACTGTAATACTGAATTTCACAACCCAACCAAGTGATATGAAATGAACATCTTTTATCTGTTGTGGATTATTAATTATAATTCATATGTGGGTATGTGGAAGTGTGTATACATTTCAATACATGCCCACACTGTTCTGTGCAAATATTAAGGCACCATTGATTAATATTGTTAGGAATATAAGTCACGTAACAGATATTTGGGTTAGAAATATATAAACCAGGATAAACATTTTGAAACTGTATCTTTAAGAAAATGCAAAACTGTAATTAGGTGTGGTTTCTCAAATGGCCATAAGATGGAGCCAGAAACCCGGGTTGTTTAGTCTGAGTCTCAGGAGAGTGTGAGTGTATCTCTGTTTCCTTCTGTTGGAAAGTATTGCCGTTCTTCCATTTTTCCTAATTGACTGCTATTTCTGGATTTGATGTAAGTTTGTTACTGAACTGTTTTTGACACTGGAATTTGTTATTGGATTATCCCTGGATTGAAAAACTGACTGATTTACCTATGAATGACTTTGGACTGCTTATCTTGAACTTTGCTTAAACTTTCTGGAAGTAAAAACCTACATTTACTGTACAGTGTATCTGTGTACTGTATGTGTATTATTCAAACACTACTCTCTATACGTCTCCCTGTATGCGCTCATTCTCCTAAAGGGGAATTACCTCAACAAATATTATGATTCAGCATTTGGAAGTGGTTATTTCTGGAAAAAGTGGTATTACAAGGAAGTACGGTAACTAAAAGGATATCCAAACTTGCATTTTTCACATTCACTGATTTCTTAGTTTGAATCAGTAAATAATTGCATGTAAAAAGTAGGATAAAGCTGTGTTCACCTTTGTTTCAGCTTCCGTTCATTTAGGGATTCTTTGAAACATACAGCCTTAACTGGTGCCTTAACTTTGACATACTGATTTCACATATTTTTATATCTATCTTATTTCTGTATTCTTGTTGAAAACTGACAGGTAAACTCATGTTTAAATACCTGCCTGAACCAAACAAAAGAAGAAAAATGTAATTACAGAAATATTAGAAAGATTTTAAATTTGGTATTCATAGAAATGGAGTGGTTTTTTTAAAAAAAAGACCATGAAAAGATGAAGTTGAAAAAACATGCATTACAAAGTTGCATTTTCACAAGTATCAAGGAGGCATACACATGGTTTCATTATGGAGGCTTTGCTTTTAAAAAAAACACCCACCACGTTTTTATCCATTGTAGTTGAGAAGGTGTTGGTAAGAGCATTAAATCTCCAGAACTAGAGATGATGAAGAATAAAACAGTGGGCATGAGTGTAATATCAGCATGTAACAGAATGCTGTATCTTGCACACTTAGAATCTATATTTTCTAAGATAGTTTTTGTTCTGATGTTTATTTTCTTTTGGCATCGGAGGTTAACCTGTACTGGTGGTGCAGTATGCAGCTGAAAATTTCCAGAAAGGCAGAATATCATCATTTATCATTACAGATATTTTGTTTGTGTGGTCACAACTAAAACAGTTGGAATCACTGCACGTTATCAGCTTTGCTTGAAGAGGTCCAAGCCTTTGAAAAACCCATTTGCCTTTGCCTAGAGGTAATACTGATCAATTCTCTTTGAGATCCTGTCTGGGAACACTCGTAAATCAGATGTGCATGAGTATGTATTTTATAGGTAGTTTTCCTCTGGTCCGTTCACACACTATGCTAAGCCATAAGAAGCTTGCTCAGCCTTAATGCAGCTTATTATGTGAATCTAGATATGATGGCTTATTTATAAATCATGACTCAGATAACATGCAGGCTCATTTTTGCCACCTATTCTAATCAACGGGCTGTCATCTTCGTACAAACCTTTATGTTAATGTATCAAACATTCACTATTAAGCACTGGAGAAAGAAAAAAAAACAGAAAAAAGTAGGAAGTGCTACCACATGAGCCTTGCAAATCAGCTTGTTCTGCCTTGTTTCATGTTTGCTGTAATCATATTTCCCCTTTACGTCTTGGCTGAAGTTATTTGTGTGGGTTTTTTTTTAAAGGGGTGGTGACAGGAACTTGGAGAAACAGCCACCAATTTTACCTGACAAGCACAAGGAAAGGTGGTGTTAGAGGCTAGAAGGAGCAAGAGAATTAGGAAGCTGGAAAGTTTGCAAAAAAAAAAAAAAAGTAAAGTAGCACCCAGAAAAAGATGAGTAAAGCTCATTAGTGGAAGGGGAAACCATGAGAAGGAAGTAGAATTGGGAGGAGAGGCATAGAGACACAAAGGGAGGATAGGTGGAGAAGAAAAAGGAGGTCAAACTAGAAGATGACAAGGAAGTGACAAGAAGAAGCCTGCAGTGAAGGCGGGGAGAGAGAGCAACGGATGGCAGCAAGTGCAGCTGCCTTGTCTTGAGGAGGTACTAAAGCCTCTGGCTTGTTTTCTTGCCTTGGTGGTGCTATTTCAGCTTGGCCCACAGCATGATGAAGAAGCAGTTTAACTGGATGCGGCAACAGCTCAGTTACCCAAGTAGCAGTGGACGGTAAGGACTAGTTGTTTGGCTACATTGCTAGACTCTCTATGCAGTTTGGGGTGCTAGAACTTTGTGTTTAAAAGTTCATCTGGATTTAGATTTTGTACCTCTAGCTGAAGGGTAGCTAAAATTCTTGCAGGGTAGCTCTCGATGGAGGTACACCCCCCTCCAAAAAAAATCTAGTACAGGGCATGTATTCACAACCCTACCTTTTCTGTGGAATTATTTAATTACAGTTTATTAATGGCTTACAGGATCACCTTCCTATGCCACCACAATGCTCACTCAGCAGACTTCTAAAAAACTTCCATGGTGATTAGCAATGTGCTGAATTTTCTCACAACGGATAGCCCTCGTTTCCTGCAACCCTGTTAAGACTTCAACACCCAGGTTTTGCAACCAAAAGGGGAAAGAGTTCTGATTCCCAATTGGTTAACAAGAACAAAATGATCTCTCCATTCTTATCATAGCTTGTTGCTGAGCCTGATGCTGTTGATCTCACTGCTGAAATTAAGAAAGCTAGTGTGCTATGATGGTTAAGGTTCTGGAGTAGGAGTGTGGACGCTCAGATTCTCATTCTCCCTTGGCTGCAGAAACCAGTTTGATAACCTTGAGCTAAGCAATCCCCCTCAACCATTATCAGTGTCAGGCTCTGCAACAAGCTAGATTCTAAATAATTCCTTCTTACTGCATCATGCATTGATAGATTCACCTGTAAGAACCAGGTGATGCAGGGCAAAACAAGCAGAGCCTTAGCAGGAGAAGTGCTAAGAACAGCAACTCTTGAAATGAAAATAGTGGGGCTAATCATAAATTGATTTCAGGGTAGAAAATGCGGAATCCATCTATTATTCCTATCAGAGAAGGAGAGGGGCTTTTGAGGGGCTTATATAGTACCCTTTGTGTATATACCGTAGTTCAACTGATGGTCTGTGGTATTAGTGAAACAAAAACTGGATTCTGCAGAACTGAAAGCTGCCTTTCCCTGTTGTAAGTAAAACTGGAATCTTTTTGTGTGTGTGAACAACCACATGCTTTGAAACCTCATCTAAAGAAGCATAGACACTTTTGCTCTTTCCTAAAATAAAAGCAGAGGTTTTCAGATAGCAGATTCTGTACAATATTTGTAGGCGATGACATTGCTATAATCTCATCATAAATATATCCTGAGCATATCAGTTTCATGTTTAGTCACTTTCTTGAGCAGTTAAAATAGCAGCTATCAATCAAAGGCTTATACTGTTGATCTTATGTATCCCTGAAATAATAACTGGAGATTGGTAAACTTCTAAAGATGCAAGCGATAAGTTATAACTGGCAAGGTAGGAAGAATTATGGCATTTACAAGAATGCCAGAAAATCATAGGATCTCCATTCCTGACGAATAAAAAGAAAAAGGCCAAAGGTCATGTTTCTATTAGCTCATGTTTACCAACCTACTGCTACTAACCCTGCATCCCAACCACGTCACATTTAATCAATGTGATGAATTTAGTCCAACAGGTTAGAAACTTTTTCTTGCCAAATATGAGTAAGAAGATGAGCAGCATCTTTGCTCCAAGAGAAGGCAGTGTTTGCTTTGCAGGAGGACAGATAATGTTATTGTTTGTTTTATTTTATTCGTTTGTATGTTAAATTTAGTTGCCACCTATCTAACTGTGGGGCTATTCCTGTTGTTATTGTTAGAATAACTCTGAAATATTATTGTCCTTCAGAAGATTTAAATCAAAATTCAATTATCTCTGAGGAAGATGGGCAGTTAAAAAATAGGAAATATAAATAAAATAAATTTGATTCTTGATTCTTCTTGTATTTCCTGGCTGCTTTTTAACAATTCAGCACATCTATAGATGGGTAGCATTTTACTTTTGGTCTCCCAATGGCAAACACATTTCACTAGCACAACAATAAACAGCTTAGTGCCTTTCAAATATTTTGATTAAAATTCACGTAATCTCTGGCTCTTGGTCATGTTGAATGGGGATTTTGAAACTCTACTCCAAGACATAAGGACACCTGGTTGTCTATTCCTGTCCTAAAACAGTCAAAAGGGAGATTCCATAGAGGTTGGATGTGGAGGTCTCTTCTTAACTTTGTTCCTGTCATTTTTTTAGGCCGGAAGTACAGAGAAATTTGACTGCTTATCATATATTTTAAAATGTGGGCATGACATCAGTAGAGTTAGGGCAAGGTTCTCCTCTCAGGAGTCCTGAAGCTGCTTTTCCTGTCTTCCCTGTCTAATTGTTGTGAAGTTACTCATCCTATTCCAAGATGGGGGTGAAAAGGATCTTTGCAGACTTGCTCACCTAGGCTAATTGCACAAAGGGACACTTAAGTATTGCTGTTGTTGCATAAAACAAGGAGCCGTGTTAATAACATGTTTTTAGGTTTAACTATTCTTTGTTTGCAACTTTCATTAAAATACCATTCGGATCAGTCACAACACAATAAAAAAAAATGCAGGGAGAAGAATTCATCATCTCCCCAGGATGGTTGTGACCATTATTTCAACAATGCAGCAGCAATTAAGGTCCCAAACCATTAACATTAATACTTGTGTTTTTAGCAGAGCATTTATTTGAAATGGGATTTCCTCCCCCCACCCCCATAAGATAATGTTACATTAATGTTATAACAGTAATTTTCAGTTCATCAGCAATTGGTGAACGGATCCATAACTATTGGAGTCATCTTAGCTGTAAGCTTATGCATTGCCATCTTTTCCTGACTCTCTTTTTTCAGAGAGTAGGGGCTAAAAGTTGAAATGTAAGAATCCACTTCTTGAGTTGGCAAAGCACTATTACAATATAAAAACTGCTGTCCACACAGCCCAATCCTAGACTGAAGTGCAGGTAATCCTCAACTTAACCAGCATTCATTTAGTTATTTTTCAAAGTTACAGCACTGAAAAAAGTGCAGTTCTCCCACTTATCACTGTTGCAGCATCTCCACCACCATGTGATCAAATCTTGGGGGTGCTTGGCAACCAGCATGTATTCACAATGGTTGCAGCATCGCAGGATCCTGGGATTGTCATTTGCAACCTTACTCAGGTGCTTCTGACATTAAGCAAAGACAACGGAGGAAGCCAGATTTGCTTAACAGCCATACGATTCACTTAATAACTGCAGTCATTCCTCTAACAACCATGGTACTGTTGGAAGAAAAATTTAGTTCCAGTTCCAAGCTGAGAATAAAATGGAGGCTGATTGGAAAGAAAGTTGGTTTATTGATTGGCAGAACCAGCAGCAGTATGTGGTTCTGGGACAGCTGACAAAATGGAGTTGAGAGTGGGTGGGTTTTTATATCTTCTTTGGGATTTGTATTTGAGCTTCCTGTTCCTGTGCAAGAACATGTTCCTTTAATATTCTAATGGCTGTTGTCAGTTTGTTCCATCCAACCGGGTTATCGGTGATAGACTTGTTGACAGGTCTTGTGCCATCTTTACCAGGATTGTAACCCACAATTAAACAGTAAACAGCTGTCTGTATACAGTACTGTGCATTCACACCAACTCTCAGTTATCTGAGCCTGGTATGGCCTGGGCCCATAACCAGTGTTGAGGTAATTCCCTGTTAGGAGAATGAGTGCACACAGGGAGACGTAGTGAGAGTGGCGGGGAATAACACACAACCAGCACAAAGATACACTGTATAGTAAAATGTAGGTTTTTACTTCCAGTTAACGGTTAAGCAAAGTCCAACACAGTCCAAGTCATACACGGTTATAGCAGTCAGTTTTCAGTCCAGGAATAATCCAATAACAAAGTCCAGTATCAAAAACAGTTCAGTAAAAGACTCACATCAAATCTAAGAATAACGACGATCAGCAACAGTCAATAGGGAAATGCAGGAACGGCAACACTCTCAGCAACAACAGAATAGAACAACCCAGGTTTCTGGCTCCATCTTATGGCCGTTTGAGGAACCACACCCAATTACAATTTTAGCATTCCCTTAAAGAGACAGTATTAAAATGTCTATCCTGGTTTATATATTTTCCAACCCAACTGTTAGGTGACTTACATTCCTAACAGGGAGGTGGGTGACAATTTTGATAAATGGCGCAACCCACATCTGCTGCTTTATTGTACCCAAGGAAACTCACTACAAATTCTGCAAGCCTTTAGCCCTTGATCTTTTTCATGTGCTCTGAGCAGATTTGAAAAGGTGCAAAGTTTTGAAATAAGTACAAGTTCTTTTTAAAAAAAAAAAACTTGAATTGCAATAGTGGATACAGATTTTGAAAGAGTCACACTGTCCTCTGGAAAGCATGGCACTTTCAAATATGGTGCCACCACCAGCCTACTTCTCAGCATTTTCTGCTGGGAGATGGAAGAAAAACAAAATGTAGACGAATGCCCAAGGGAAAAGATGTTCCCATACCAGTCTAAAGCAACACATAGATGTGGAGCTAGTCCCATCAACTCTCTATGTTTATCTTAGTAGGCAATGGAAAAAGCAATTGACAAACTGCATCAGATTATATATTTCTTTAAACTGCTACAGGTTGTTTTTAAAGGGGAAACATTATGGTTTAGGTAAGGATAAAAGAAAGCTATATTATACCTTTTCTAAAGCGCTTGTAGGCCAGACAAGGAATAATGGATGGAAACTGAACAAGGAAAGATTTAACCTGGAAATAAGGAGAAACTTTCTGACAGTGAGAACAATCAACCAATGGAACAGCTTGCCCTCGGAAGTTGTGGGAGCGCCATCACTTGACACTTTCAAGAAGAGATTGGACTGCCATTTGCCAGAAATGGTGTAGGGTCTCCCGCTTGGGTGGAAGGGTTGGACTAGATGACCTACAAGGTCCCTTCCAACTGATTATCTGTTATCTGTTAGGTACAAGATGAAGGCAACATCTTGGAGACCCAGCAAAAAGACGATACTGCCAGCACATGTTTCCCATGATATATACCAGTGTTTCTCAATACTGACAACTTTAAGGGATGTGGACTTTAATTCTCAGAATTCCCAAGCCAATCCCAATTCTGGGAATTTAATTCCTCGTATCTTAGTTGCTGAGATTGGCTTCTATCTTCTTTGATTTCCTGATTTGTATTCATTTGTATTCATTCCAGTTTGCTGTGAAATTCAAACTAAGCATGTCAAGGTAACTAAAATCCCATATATTTCCTCTAGATCAGAGTTTGGGATGTGTTTCTAACCAAAATACAAACATCAAAAACAAAAGGAGATGGAGGATATTGTCAGACATAGGGCTAAGAATAAGGCAACGGCAACATTTCAGGAAAGGCATTTCCCAGACTGTGAGAAAGTGTCCTCTATGTTTTTCTGGAAGATGCCCTAGTGGTTATTTGTCCAAGAACTGAAGTGGGGGAGAGTTTGACCAAAGCATCTATTGTAATCTTTTGAGTGGGATGTGTTCCAGGTTTTTTTGCCAGTCCATTTTGCCCCAACCTCAGGAAAGAACATCTTTTGAGTTCAGAAAACTCAATGTGGATGGTCTGGTAATATTTTGAGCTTTTGGTATCTTGCATGGCTCAGATGGGCCTCATCTAATGGTGACAGTTGACTGATTCTGTGTGGACTCAAAAGCTAAGCAGCTGGGATAGGAGCTGAAATAGGAGATCACCAGAAATGTTATGGCAGAAGGCTAGTCTGGAAGAGCAGTTGTCTGGGAGTAGGTAAGAATGGCAAGCCATCTCTGCAATCAAGAAAATTCCAAAGCAATTATATCCATATAGTCAACTGGAGCCAAGTTTGACTTAAGGGCATCTTTACTATTTTGTTTATCAGTGGCAAGAATGTGTTGCAGAATCTGGGAAGCATTCCAATTTTCCACAAAATAGCATTGTGCTGTTGAAATATCAGTTTTCAGGCTCCATTTCCAGAGTCCTGGAAACAATTATTTTCAAAAGGAACCAAGGGTGAGGCTTTTGCTGATTCCTCATGTTGCCATTTATAGGCCTTCGGCCTACATTCAACTACAGGTTGAATTGTGAAAATTAAACCACAGCTAACATTTGAACATTTTAAGCCTGCATTTGCTTGACATGTTGCAACTGCCCAAGAACCCTTCCATTGTGTACCAACGTGTCTAAATAACTGTGGGGACAACTGTCCCCATCTCTGTCCATACTTTACGTTTCTTTTTTCTGAATGCTAACCAGGTATATTGTTAGTGACAACTATGAGCCTGGAAAATCCTGATTCTATTCTTCTTTCCCAGGGATAAATCAATCTGCCTTACAAACAACCCTACCATTGTCCTAAAAGTATAATGCTGATGTAACATGTAAGGTGGTGGCTTATAGACATTATTGAAATAATATAAAGTTAATGCACAAGTGTGTTGGTGACCTCTTTCTTCCATTGCTGCTCCTCCTTCTCCAGAGCCCAAGAGACAGCGGATTACTTGACTGAAGACTTGCTCCAGGTGAGGCACCGGGTTTCATTAGTGGGCATGTGCTTACCTGTAGCTCTGTGCTGGCAGAGAAGGCGTGACCAAATTGAGCAGTTTGTTTTCGCTCTGTCTCTGAGTCACAAGACAATCTTGGACTGGAATCGTCCTCTTCCAAAACAATCCAGGTCTGCTAGTAAGCCGTGTCATGCAAGCTGAGTACAATGAGACTCCACTGGGTGGGGTGGGGGGTGGGGACAACTCCCCATAAGATGCAGAGCATTTGAAACAACACAGACTAGCAAAACTGTAGAACATACAAAGCTGCAGATGTACTGTGAACTGGGTCTCTCTCTGTCCTTAAATTAATGGAGTTTTTAAAGGCAGCGAAGAGGCTTTCAAATGGATGAGTCTTAGTGCCATCACTCATAAGATATCCTAGAGTCATTGGGCCTTTCTTTATTTAACTGTTTTTTTTCCCCCTGGCATAAAATGCATAGGGAAAAAAAGACCATAATATTTGAATTCAGTGTAAAATTCTGACAATGAGAAGGGTAGCTACATAAATAAAAATTATGATGATGTGCCACAAATAAATGCAATGTACGTATTTTAGCCACAATCTCCAAAAGGAGAAGATGATCAGACTATTCTGGGTATGCTTTCAAAAGTGGCTGCATTTTTTTTAACTCCAGTTGTGTCATTTTAATAACACTACAATGCATTTTCAGCACTGCAGGAGTCCATGAATAAATATTTATATTTTATCAAATTTGTATGTTACCCAACTCCTAACAACTGAGTGTCTCAGTATAACATGAGATTACAACAATAAGCAGTTAAAAATGATTTAAACAAACAAAATTGTGAGTGACAGACTGGCCAAGATGAAGCAAAGGATGTTCACAGAAGCTATTTGCATATATATATATGCCCATATACTTACAGTATGTTTGGGGAACCACAGTGGATGCAAAGAAAATGAATTTCTCCTTATTTCTTCTCAGCTAACTGTTCCACTTTCTGTTTTAGGTTGAACAGAGAATTGAACCAGTCAAACGGGCAGCACATAATGTGCACAAGAGGCTTGTGGCTTGCCTCCAGGGGCAATATGGAGCAGAACTGGACAAACGGGTGGTAAATCTCATTTTCCCCCTTTTTTGTGGTTCTTTCTTAGTTCACAATGTATTTACAATATGGGAAGCACATTTTTGGTGCTTCATGATAGTTCTCAAGTATAAAACATCTTTCTTTCCCCACCTCACCTTTTTTAGAAGCTGATACTATTCTACACTGAGAAAAAAAGTGCAATGGATTACACAGTAATTTATGCCTATAATTTTTTTCCTCTTCATGGCTCCAGCTTTGGGTGCTGATCTAAATTGTACTATAGAGTTTTATCTCCAGCTTTGCTACTGTACAGCTCCTATGCAAATCTCTAGGAGATTAAAGAAACCTGGGAATTAAAATGGTCTAATATATAAAGCCTTAGTAAGACCACACCTACAATACTGCATCCAGTTTTGGTCACCATACTATAAAAAGGATGCTGACACTCTAGAAAGTGTACAGAGAAGATCAACAAAGATTATTAGGGTACTGGAGGCTAAATAATATGAAAACAGTTAGAGGAACTGGGCATGGATAGTCTAGTGAAGAGAAGGGCCAGGGGAAACATGACAGCAGTGTTTCAATATTTGAGGGGCTATCACAGAGAGGAGGGAAGTCAAGCTATTTTCCAAAGCACCTGAAAGCCAGACAAGGAATAATGGATGGAAACTGATCAAGGAGAGATTCAACCTAGAAATAATGAATTTTTTTCTGGAAGTGAGAACAATGCACCAGTGGAACAGCTTGCCTTCAGAAGTCGTGGGAGCTTCATCATTGGAAGCTTTCTAGAAGAGACTGGACTGCCATCTGTCAGAAATAGTGTAGGGTCTCCTGCTTGGGCAGGGGTTTAGAACTAGATGGCCTATAAGGTCCCTTCCCATTCTGTTATTCTGTTAATATTAATCCACAGTTCTATCTGTAGCATTTATCCTAGGCTATGGTAGATTTAAGTTCTGTTGCCCTTGCAGATAAACTCCTAAGATAGTCTTCTAGTATTTAATATCTTCTGGATACATTGGATTTCTCACCTCACAATCAGGAGGCTGGGAGTTCGATACCAGGTAGAAGCTAATATTGGAAATAGACTCTCCTGCTATTATATTCTATTTATATATATTCTATTTGTTATTTTTCTTCTGCAGTTCATTTTTGCTTCTGTATATAAATAGGTATGAAAGGGAGGAAGGGAGCCAATTACTCTTTTCAGACTAATATACTACACAGAACTTTTCTAATAATTAAAAAAAATAGGAGAGAATGATAACAGACTACCTGCATTCCTTCAAGGAATGGTAAAATAAAAAATATTAAAAAGCAAGAGAATTTATTAATCAAGCTTTATAACTCTTTCATTAGTTGTCTATTTTAGACCAGTAATACTTTTGTACTTCATATCCTTTAGAATTATTTTTTTCATCTTCTTTCTTCTAGCTAGAAGGAACCAGAGGATGAAGTAATCTTTTTCAGTTTGTTCTTATATTATTACATCTCTAGCTTCTGAGTGAATACAGTAAATCCAGAATACTAATCACTAAATTCAACTAGCCAAGCTGTGGACATTTTTTAGCAATATATGCCCCCTCATGGGTGCAGCCAGGAAGAATAGAGACACATTTGCTATCTTCAGAATAAGGTATAAATTGGCCCCATTAGTACCAATAATGGTTTGCCTTAAAATCCATGGTATATTTATTTATTTTATTTATTTATTTATTCATTCATTTGTTTGTTTGTTTGTTGTTTGTCAAGCAAGTGTTAGATAACAGGTATAAGTATAAACATGGTTATGAATACATTAAATGGATACGAATAAAAAAGAAATAATAGGACAGGGACGGTAGGCACGTTGGTGCGCTTATGCATGCCCCCTACAGACCTCTTAGGAAAGGGGTGAGGTCAATAGTAGACAGTCTAAAGTTAAAGTTTTTGGGGTTTGGGGAAGAAACCACAGAATCAGGTAGAGTATTCCAGACATTGACCACTCTGTTGCTGAAATCGTATTTCCTGCAATCAAGTTTGGTGCAGTTTACCTTGAATTTGTATCTATTGTGTGTTCTTGTATTTTTGTGGTTGAAGCTGAGGTATTCATTGACAGGTAGGACATTGCAGTAGATAATTTTATGTACTATACTTAGATCAGACCGAAGGCAGCGTAGTTCTAGGTTTTCTAGGTCTAAAATTTCAAATCTGCTGGCATAAAGTATTCTGCTATGAGTAGAGGAGTGGAGAACTCTTCTCGTGAAATATTTCTGGACTTTCTTGACTGTATTAATACCCAATATGTAATGCGGGTTCCAGATTGATGAGCTGTATTCATGTATTGGTCTAGCAAATGTTTTGTACGCTCTAGTTAGTGGTGTGATATTTCCAGAGAAAAAGCTACGCAGGATTAGGTTAACAACTCTTAATACCTCTTTGGCTATGTAGTTACAGTGGGCTCTAGCACGTAGATCATTAGAGATGAGTACTCCAAGGTCCTTGACAGAGTTGAGGTCATCAAAAAAGTCTTGACTATTTACCCGTCTGTGTCTGTGGCGTATTATGTAACCACCAACAATATGTTAAGATGCTAATATTAAACTTTAAATCAGTTATGCCACTTCATGTATTTTTATTTTTAAAATCATTTTAATCATTTTTACAAATATGTATGGGAGTAGAGAAAACCAATATAATTATCATTTAAAGAAAAGGCTTGTTATATTCATATAGTTAATGAACTACCATACGTACCTCCATCATACTTACCTACATACTTATCATACTGTTCCCTTTTGGGGTGAATTATGCATAGCTCAGAAAAGGAGTAATAAAAAGCCAAAGAAATTAAAGAATGGGTTCAGAAAAAGAAATCTGGTTTACAGTTCATTGCACCTCTCTCTATCTTTCTGTCCTTGCAAATTATCCTTGTTTCTATATTGAGTTGGTGCATATTTCTATACTGAGTTGGTCTTGCTTTGTGTGAAAAAGATTCATTCCTCACAACAAACCATATTGTACCTACCCTTTTCTACTATCATTTGATTCATAAAATTTCTCCACTTGAATTCTCATCTTTAAATAACAATTGTACCAAAGTACAAAAATTCATCTGTTTGCTCTTGTTTTTCACCATTTATTTATAATGTACAATCTTTCACTCGGGTTTCACTGTTGAATATATCTATCCTGGTCTTTGAATATTAATCTTCAAAAATCCATATTCATCTATATACAATCTACTCTCAGTCTTCTCTGAGCTTGATTGATTGCTTGGAGACATTTTGTTACTAGAAGTCAGTGCTAGAAGATTGTGAAGTTAGTAGCTTGCCCTGTTAGTGTTTATGGGGGTGCTGTTTTCTCCTGGTACTTCCTCGATTAGGATATTATTTACTATTCGATTGTTTGGTGTTAATTTCTGCTTATCTGGGTGTTTACTGATAAGAAGAATTCTTGTTTAAATTTCCATCTTAGCTTTTTTCTAGTCTCTTTTGAATGATGTGAAAATTATATGTGCCTATGGGTGGCTTATTTGTCTGAGTGCCAAGTATCCAGGAATGTGTTTTTTTTAGGATTTATCTTGGTCTGGGACAAACAAGCAGTAAACAACAGTTTACCTTCTAGTACCGAAGATGTTATACCTAGTCTGGTAATGAAATATCTGCAAGGAAACAACCAAGCTCAGAGAGCACTAAGGACTGCTCAGTCCAACTCTGGGCTACAAATATTCTCTTCTATTAATAATTGATCTGCAAACAATAGATCTGCATACAAATATGATATGTATATTCATATTTCCAACCAATGTCTAATATCATTCCAATGTTCCTTATATATTCGCCATCAATATATTTCATCACCAAATAGTATCTTTTTCTAAGCAGGTACTCAACAGGCACCATACTGATTCATTCTTGGGTCTTCAATGGCCCAATCACTTTTTCCCCCAGACTTTTCTATACTGTTCAAGTCACTTGGCTGAATATTTTTCTCCATTTAGATAAAATTCATGTAGAATGTTACATAATTTTTTTACCAAAACTTATCACTAGGTCTTCCATTGTTACCATTTACCAGAGTATAATATGAAACTATCACAAGCCCCTGGACTTTTATTTTCTGTGCAATTACCATGGCATAAATTATGCTAATTCATACTCTCTGACCTGTATCTTGGTCTTTTCATTCATAAGGTAGGATCCTTAATTTAGACATTGCCTGGAAACCAAAATACTGATACCCACATTTCACTAACTAGGAAATATACCCAGTATACGCATATATACTGCCCACAGGATTCAATGAATTATCATTGCCAAAAAAATATAATATCACATTAAGATGAGATGTTGATGGTGAGAAACAGCTATTATTATTACCTGTTAAGTCAATAGTAAAGAAATGGAGGAAAATTATATCCCTACAAGAACCCGTAATGTAGGCAAAAGTTAGATATTTAATAACTGTAATTACCAACTGTTACTGGTATAGGTATTTTTCTTCTCTGTTCATGGTCTTATTTTCTCACTTTTTTCCATAGAAAAAGTTACCTTTGATGGCATTATCAGTCACTATGGCTGAAAGTTTTAAGGAATTAGACATGGATTCCAGTCTTGGGTAAGAATTGTTACATTTTATGAGTGAAAGACACAGTGTTCTTCATAACTGAGGAACATATTAGTCTAGCTTGTTATCTCTGAGGCTACTATAAAGTTTATCTCCTCTATGGAACACAAAATCATATTTTCTTTTACAATTTGGAAATGTCCTTTGCATTAATATCCTGACTGAACTGGTTTTGTTTGTTTTCTGAAAACATAAAAATATTATTTTTCTAGAGCAGTATTCTTTCTAGCATCTGTGTAATTAATATTAATCTTAAAATCTACTCGTACAGAAATATTTGGCAAGTTGAGTCTCCTCTGTTTGCCTTATCTGTTTCCCTCTACCACATGTTTTTACTGTTGGCCATGTATTTTAAGAACCATGCCAACTATGAAATCTGCTTTAAGCTATGGTATATTTTGTACTTCTGGGATAACTTTCTGTCCAGCAATATGGTGGTACAGAAGAAAGCAACAGAAACACAGAGTGGATCCAGTTTTCACTAGGTGAAATCCAAGCTGCAGTTTTGTGGTGGGTGGGTATTGGATTTGGGGGGTTGGGGTTGACTTCATGTCAGTTTTTGACTCCTAGTGATTACGGGGATAAGTCCCTGAAGTTTTCTTGACAAGATTTCAGAAGTGGTTGCCATTGCCTGCTTCCTAGGGCTAAGAGTGTATGATTAGCCAAAGGTCAACTAGTTTGCTTCATGCCTAAGTGGGATTAGAACCCTTTGTCTCCTGGTTTCTAATCTTCTGCCTTAATCAGTACACCAAATTGGTTCTTACATTTCTATTAGCAGAAGCCAATTCTGGGTGTTGAGTGGGAGGAAGGCCATTTCCCTTTCTCCTTGCACAGGCTTGCCCCATGCCTTCAAATCTGTTTCAGAGAAACTCATATTCTTCCAGAGCAATTGTAAGAACACACAGGAGTGACATGAAGAAGAGAAAGTCTCATCACACAAGTGTAAGTCTGCTAGTGCAGCCTTAAATTCTACTGCTCATCACTTAATAGGCACGATTTGCCCTGCTAGCATTCCCTTGGTTTCCTCTATACAGTGTCACAAAAGAGCAAATGGTAGACTTTTTTTCAGTAACAGACACAGCAAGTCACAAAAAACAAAGTATTTTTTTACAGGCAATCCCACAAGTAATATATGGATGTTGCATTATCAACTGAAGCTGAGCCACAATGACCTGAAACTGCAGAAAAATCTTTGGGGTTTATCAATGTCAAGTACATATATCTGCTCCTCAAGGAGTATTTTATTTAGAAAATGAATATTGGGAATGAAGTTACTGATTGCATAAACTGTCTTGTATCTCCAATCATTCAAGCAATTCCAAGTTCTGGAGAGTATTTCTTTGGAAATTGTGCTCAAGTTTCCACCCTTTATCTTTTTCAGTTGGAATGAGGCATGATTTTTACCCCTTTTAAACTAGATTTTTCAACTGCTTATTTTACTTTTAGTGGCTCTATATATCCTCTTGGTAAAAAGATGCAATACATATCAGAGAAATTAAAGTATAATTAATAATAATTGCAGAGGTTAAAATTGTGACAGACAAATTGAAAAAAAATAGTTTTCCCAATTTGATGCTCTCAATTCCCATTGCACATGGCTTGCAATACCATATATTTAGAAAATGCTGGCTGTGGGAAGAAGCAGTTGTTGAAGGAGCCAAACAGGTCTCTGGAAGCAAAAGAAGAATAACTGTATTATATGTTAGTCCCCAGAGGTGTTATGGTAGATTGATATTCTTCACCTTCCAAGTTGGATTTTGAACTCTTTCTTTCTTCTTTCCTTCTAGGAAAGCTCTAGAAATGAGTTGCTGCATTCAAAGCATGCTGGCCAGGATCCTTGCAGAGTTTGAAATTACTCTTGAACAAGATGTCCTACAACCCCTGAATAAACTGAGTGAGGTATCTTTAATCTTGAATCAAATCTTTACTATAGTCAGAAACCAGCATAATCTTTCATCTCTTTTCTCTTCATTCCTATTTCCATGTTTACTTAACCTCAGCAATTTCACAATTTGTCCAGCCACAGTGCAATTCATGCAGTAAACTATGGTTAAACAATTGATGATGAAATGCTTCAGGTACCCAGCCACATAGTCCTTCCTTACTAATGGGCAAATGCTGCTGTAATTTAGGAGCTATGGGAACTTTGGTTGTAATGTTCATTTACAAGGAAGAACAAAATCAAAAGGTTGTTTAAATTTTGTAAGGCTGTTCACAGATATAGTTAAGGATCAATATACACTGGAAATAACTACCTTGTCATGCTTGACTTTCTAACTTAAGCAAAATCAGGAAACAGGCATTTCCTGACAAGGTGCTAGAAGAAAGACCACTAACTGCTTCTGCTGTTCAAATGTAAGAAAAGTATAGTAGATAAGAAGCCACTCAAGGCCTCAGGAGAGCCAAACCCATTCTCAGTCATTGGAAGCTCATTGAATGCCTTTATACCAATCACTGTTTCTCAACTCAACATTCCTAATGGAATGATTGTTGTAAGAAAAATTGGAGGAAAGACTACTATGTATACTCCTTTGATCTTCTGGAGGAAAGATAGGATATAAATCTAGCAAATAAATAACAAATCTGGCTATGGTGAAAATGCTCATACAAAATCCTGGCAAGGGCCATCATAATATTACGGTCAGAAAAAGAATAAAATCCTGGAAACATAAGAAATAGGCTATTTTATGCAGATTACAAACCAACAGGATCTTAAATTAATGCCATTTCCTCATTAGTCACTGAAAGAATTTTCTAGTGCCATCCATCCATCATTGAAGTGATATAAAGCTTATTATTATGGTTGGTCCCACAATCAGCCAGATGTTTAAACTGGAGTTGGCATTTTTCTATATGGACTTACTGAGTCCTTCCCAAAGACCCAGGATAGGCAGGAGTTGTTTAATAATTAAATATCATTGCAGCATGTTGTTCCAAGTAAAGCTGCCTTTTGCAATTAACTCATGGTGATTTTTGTCAATGCCAATGGTGTAAGAGTGGGGATCCAAGATGCCTATTACTATTGGTATTATCTTTGCTTTTTTTTTTTTTTTTTGCTACTTTTATTTGTAGGTCTTTAAATTTTGTGATTTTCTCCAGTTCTTTCTTTTGTCTTTTTCTGTCTTTAGGTACTGCCTCATCCAGTATCCATAATTTTTTGTCTTTCTTATCAACAGTTGTTCAATCTGAGGCATTATATGGCAGGTGCTTGTCTGTTTGAATTTTAAAATACCAGAACACTTTAGCTTCTTCATTTTCTAGTTGTCTATTTTGTGATCTCACCAGTTCTTGCTTGCAGGCAAATGATATTTCTTGAAGATATTCCAAAGTATCTTTGTTACCACTGTTGTTTATATAAGAATATAACAGTCAAATATTTAGACTGTATTTGGCATTTTTATTATTAGTATTAGTATTATTACCATATATTACTGTATCTAAAGACTATTTAAACATTTATTAGTTAAAACCATTGATGGGAATGGTACTTATGGGAGCTGATGATAGTGGGAACTGACCCCAAATCCTTCATCCCAACCTCTTCTAGGAGGAGCTGCCTGTCATCCTGAAACACAAAAAGAATCTTCAGAAACTTATTCTGGATTGGAACACCATCAAAAGCCGGTACTGAGGGGATATAATAAAATAGAAAAATGAGGAAGGCTCAATGAAACCTTTGAATGGGAGTGATGGGGGGAAAGTCTCTTAAAATGTAGCTCATGTTCTGCCAGGGGCTGGTTATGTTTTTGATAACATTACCTTGGCAACAAGATCTCTACCATTCAAAGCCTGAAAGTACCAACTAACTTAACATTCTGAATTACAATTTCCTTGGATTTGAGGTTTAGGGTTTGTATGAGCTAGCCACAATGGCTTATGATATAGTGCAATCACTGAAAGAAGTTATGTTTGAGCACTTCGAAACTACTTCAAATCTTTAGCATATTATTTTTCCAATCTGTTACCAGATGTACTGTACTATTCTTCCTATTACTCACAGTCAGCATGGCCAGTGGCATATTATAGTCCTGCAATTGGGACCACTAACTCCATCACTAAATGGCATGGTCATAAAATGAAATATCATGTGAGCACACTGACTTTTAACTGTTGGCAGCTGCAGTTGTTATGTGAATCATCCTCAATCATTAAGCATGATATCACATGCTAACCAGTCATTGTAAGGATTACCTGTATTTAAGAGATGCCAGGTTGGGGAAAGCTGCACAAATGGGTAATCCCCTACATGCCTGTTCAACTGCATTTCAATTTGGGAGTCCCACTTTCTGTATATCTTGTATTTCTATTTGTTTTGTGTGCTGACTTACATAAATTATTTAACGTTTCTAAAGAAATGCATAGGTTAAGGAGAGGTGATTGCTCAGTGGTGGAACTCCTACTTTGTGTGTAGAACATCTCAGCACAAATACTTGCCATTTCTGAATTAGACAAGAAAAACAGCTGCAAGAGTTTGATAACTGCCATCAATTCATGTCAGTAATAGGAAACTAAAATCTCAAGGTTGTTAGAAGTGGCTTTCATGTTTTTTCATGTCTTTTTGGTTAGTAACTGTTTGCTATCATATTCACATCAGTAAAGTGTTTCACTACTATGCTTGCTAACTGAAAAAATGAACTACATTTTCTTGCATATAAGGGCCTACATGGTTATAGCCTCCGTAAGTCCATAATGTACTTTAGCTATCATAAGCCCAGACTTTAAGGTTTAGTTTTGTGTTCTGCCTCTTTCAAGGAAAAAGTAATGTTATATATGGTATTTCCAGAAGTCCACTGTCAGTGCAAAGCAATGCCCATAAAGAGTCATGTTTATACACACAAACATTACAGTCCTGTTCCTCTTTCAGGTTTCTCAATTACCAAAGACCTTCCACTCAACATTTTCATCTGTGTGTTCAAGTGGATACATGTACTGTATTTTGGGACATAAGAATTGTATGGACATACATGTGGCTATTGTAATATGAGTGGTATAAATATAATGTCACTCTCCTGTTTAATTATTATCAGTTCTAATACTGCATTGGGATGAACTAAGGAATAATTAAGATAGAATGTATTACCGAACATTAGAAATAATACTGATTAGTTGCAACTTTCCATCTGTAGATAATTCACATTCCATTTACTTAAAAGTAAGTGACTGTCCATCAATGCCCATAGTGCTCTTATGCTATCCATGTTATATCAAAGGCTAAAAGGGAAAGTTGTTGCCAATGTAAATGGCTTGACCTGGAGTAATATTATATTCATATGTTATGAAGGAATCTCTTAAGTGTCCCAATCTTGACTCATTTTTATCCTGCCTTATTTTTAAACTATCAAAAGAATCAGACAGATTTCTTCCCCTCTCCCCTTTTATTCTCACAACAGTGTGAAATAATTTAGAGTAAAATAAAACAAGCCACAGCCATTCAGTAAGCTTTGACAAAAAAAAAAAATTGGATTAGGATTTGTATCCAAGTGGTACAAGAATGTGATAGTGATGTTACTAGAAGAGATGGGACTAACATTCTTGTCTTTTTTATGTCTTGAGGGAATCAATTTACCTCTTTTATTTTTAACATCTAAAATTTGTACCATCTGAATTTGGTAATTTACCCTTAAATTTAGATTGCATGAAATTACCAAGTTGTGCAGAATAAATAAACTGGATGGGATTGGTTGTCTATCTGTGCAATACGCTTTCTCAGTGAGACAAGATTTGAACTCAAGCCTCCCCTAGTTCTAGTCTGGCACTCAAAATTTGCACTACACAAACTGCTGTTAAAACAGTTGGGGCTTCCCACTCCACAGGAAATACAACATCACATGGTTTTTTTCATACAAAGTGTCAGTCTTAGGCTTCACAATAACACCTCAAAACCTTCTTATTAAGACAATTTTTATATCAAACATATCCTGTTTCCTAATTTTGAAATACCATTGAACCTACCTGTTTCTTTTTTTAAAAAAACCAGTCTAAACCAAGCTGCCAAGAATTCCAGTAATAGTGTCAGTGCTATCACAACTTCAGGAGCCTCATCAGCTGCCGTAAAGTTGGAGAATCTGAAGGAGGAAGAAGAGGAGATGAAGAGGAGGGTGGAGCAGAGTAAGGTACTTATACATAGAGACAGCTTGATCAAGAATGTATTGATTTATCTTAGTCTACTCTTCAATTCTGGTATCGATAAGCATGTTTATGTAAGAAATTCATCAAGTACAGGACAGCTGAGAAATAGTTAAAAAATAAAGTGGAAAGAATAGAGTGTTGAAGTAGTTTCTTTTTTGTCACAGAGTTCATCAGATTGGCTGTGTTTAGTTTGTCTACTGATGGAACCAGTCTCTACTATCAATTTTATTGTGTACTGTGTAGCTTCCATAAGTGAGCTCAAAATGCCAAACTAGTTTCTAATGATTGTCACTCCAAAACCTACTATTTGATTGCTAAAATAAGACTATTGCAAAACTCCTGCATCTCATTATTCTAACTTGGAAAGTCACCATGGATTTGTAATGGCTACCAATGGAAGGCATAAGAATTTGTTGGCTTCCATTAGTTGCGTACATGTATCCTCAGAGCCATGCAGTTACATTCGAGAAGTGCACTAGAGGTATACTCCCTAACTCTATTAGGAGTTTGTTGATGCTGTAATGCAGTTTCCCAACCTTGGCAATTTTAAGATGCATGGACTTCAACTCCCAGAATTCTCCAGCCAGCATGGGAAATTCTGGGAGCTGAAGTCTATGTATCTATGTGGCCTAGATTGGGAAACCCTGCTGTAATGAATGAATATTAAGAAATAATAGTGATGAATTTTATGTTAAATTTTTCATGAGTGTATCAAGGAATAATAGTTCCCAATCCTGTTCCAGGATGAATATATGGCTGATTTATATCATTTTTCAACCAAGGAGGACAGCTATGCTAAGTACTTTATCAAAGTAAGATTTAATTTCATTTTCTTAACTAATCTATTTATATTTTATTCATATTATATTTTAAAAATCACATGTTCTAACTTCTGAAAATTTCATCTCTCCATAGACAAGATGTGAGAAAAATACTAATTAGAATTACAATTCTGTTTACTTGTTTCTCTGTGACAGTTGCTGGAAATCCAGGCAGAATATCATCAGAAGTCTCTGGAATCTCTAAATTCCAGCTTGGCAGAGCTAATGAGTTCTCACAACCAAACAGGTACAATTTGAGATGTATTTTTTTGGTATGGCACATTAGCAATGAATAAATTGCTACTGTACAGCCAGAGTTTTAGGAATATTAAAGAGAAAGGATTAAAAATACAGTATGTGGGAACTGAACATTAATAGCAATAGTAATAGCACTTGGATTATATACTGCTTCACAGTGCTTTACAGCCATCTCTATGCAATTCACAGAGTCAGCATATTGCCCCCAACAATCTGGATCCTTTTAATACTTAATGTTTTTGGCAGGGGCACTCTCTGGCCATTTGCTTAGAAGTGGTCCTTTTTAACTGATATTTGCATTAACTGGTGTTTGCATTGACCCATGGTAGTCAGCTAGAAATGGCTTCAGCTTTTTGTTCTGTGTACATAAAAACCCCCCAGATATTAGCCCAGAAGAGTTGAGAGGAGATGACTCTGGAAATTAATAGACAAGCATTCTTTAATCTTTCTCCATTCTCCTCCTCCTTCCTTGTTTAGATGCCCCTTTTCCATTAGATCCAGCTGTACCAGGGGTGTATGGAATGCCATTAGAGACTCACCTGAAGGCTGCTGGGCGAGAGATTGCACTTCCCATTGAAGCCTGTGTTATGATGCTGTTGACCGCAGGTATGCAGGAAGAGGTAGGTATCACCCTCTGTCCAGCTATTTATTTGCCACAGACCTCCTGGTTTCTCCCTTATTTTTTTTTCTTTTCTTTTAGGGGCTCTTCCGGTTGGCAGCAGGAGCTTCTGTGCTGAAGAAACTAAAATACTGCCTGGACAGTGGCTCAAATATTTTGGATGAATTCTACATAGACCCTCATGCTGTGGCAGGTAGGTGATCAGCAGTACTGAAGAGCTCTTGTTTGGGACACTACGCACTGTCTGGGACATTACACATCCTCTTCATGACCCGTTTTCCTTGTTAGCTTCTGAAAGGAGGCTTTGTGGTATCTGAAGCAGAACATCCAGATTCGGTTACAGTTTTGTTCCATATAATATCAACCTTGTGAACTCTCAAACTTCCTCTTTCTGATATGTATTCAAGATGGACAGTGATTAATATATGTATATATGGGTGTAGGGGTGTGTGTGAATGTGTGTGTGATGTGTGTGTACACTTTTGAGAGCAGGCAACAGAATTTCATTTTTAATGTGTTCCAGTGTGTCCA